TTTATGCATTGTTTTATTATTATCAAATAAACCTAGGAGCTTATTTTAACCCAAAGTACCAGGAGGCCGAGCTTCGCTCAAATTGAATTAAACGTTAAATAAGTTGATTAGCTAAATTAAAGATATTTATTATGTTGCGGTAATCAATGTGAACACATTTTGGATGATAAAAAGAACACAATATAATACACCTTTATACATATAAATATGCAATAAAAAGTATATTGTAGGGCGGAAAATGGATTTTTCCTAGCCTTGTGACCAAGTGCTATCGATTTCTTGAGACCAAATACTCCATATTAAACAAAAATTAAAAATCCTTGGACGAAAAAATAAAAGTTTGTCCGTACACGCGCTTGTTTTAGAGTATAGGATAAGTGAAGGATGAGTGTAGAATGGAAATGATCTGTGTAGCTTTGTTAGTGAAAAATATCAGCTGTTTCATTAGCCAGGATCATTTATTCAATTAATCATTATGATCAAGGAGAGTTGTGTCCAATTTCGAGACGTCAAAAAGCAACTGACTTTTCTCAGGATTGGTTTGGCAGCCTTTTGATTGTTAGGCAAACACTTAAACCACTCAGCTACCCAGTTCATTATTATCCGATTATGTTAAAATTGAGAGTGTTTTACCAGGGCATTTGGTTTTTGTAAAATGACATGACCAATGCATGTATATGTTATTTTGGTTAAATAAATGACTTATTGACTTATTTGGTTGAGTTGTTCATTTAGAAAATAAACAACGGTGTATAGAGAAAAGTAGTTTTTAATTTTGATTTTTGGCTCTAGCACAGAATAAATAATACCTCACCAGATATTCTATGTTTATAAGTAAATTATTTCGGTGTCGTTTTTAATCATGTACGAGTAGCTTTTAAAAATTTTGTGATTATTTGAGGAGATTGTACTAAGGACGTTTCAAACACTCAAGGTGTAGCATTTGTGATTAATTGATTGGTCTCTATGGAACTAAAAGAAAAAATAATTATTCTACTCTATCTATCCATTTATGTACATAAAACATCGTCATTCGCCTATTGGGTCTGATGATGATTGGAGTGTCCAATCGAAATCGATTACCACTTACCATCTTTTTTGTATATTTACCGTCTTGTGAGTAACAGTGTAAGCGTAAATATTGTTTTAAGTGTTATAAGACGTATCTTTAATTTACTTTACTTAAAAAAATTAGGAGTTATTCTTTAACATCGTTTTTTTCAGCTATCCTACTTAACCATTTTTACCATCGAGGTGTCATTATAAAGCCTACTAGTGTACCTGGTGCTCGAATTCAAGCAATTGCGAAGATCGCGCCACTCATCCTACACTCATCTCCATTCATACTTGGCTTAAAATGCCTACTTTTTATGGTCGCCATTTAATTGAAAAGTAAAGTAAGAAGTATTACAGGCGTTATTTTAAAACGAATAACAGACATAATTTCCGACAGTTTCAACTATACAGTACACGTTTTTTTCAAATTGCAACTAAAATATTAACAGCAATTTAATTATCCAGCTGATTATAATGTAAACAAATGTGTTCTTTATAATCATAACATGTGAACTTAAAAAGCCACTGGGACAGACCCCAAGGGACTTTTCCAATAATGTAAAGTCATTTTGCAAATCTACACACCTAGACGAACATTTTGGCATATAGTATGTGGGGTTAAATCTTAAAACAAAAAAGCCTTAATGTTTACAAAGTTCCATGTAGCGTATTAATAGTATAAGATTGGCCAAGAGTGAACGAATGATAACGAAACAGGCAATTCCCTTGAGCGCATGGCCCACCTTGCGTTTCAATTATATCCAGAGTTCACTTTCAAAGATCCATTGTTGTTGACAAACTTCCTGTATAATGGTTTAAATATGAAATGTAATCCAACAGCTGGTCTTTCAACTGAATGTTTGCCTACAATCAGAATGTAAGAAGAGACAGACGAAGTTTATGAAAATGGATTTAATAGGCTACTATTGTATTTTTATAATTGCAGCCTGATCGTAGGTAATTCACTCTTCAGTCTTCATAGTGTAGATCTAGATTTAAAAAGGGTATTGCAATATAATTTTACATTAAAATTAAGTTTCGACCCCTATTAAACACTTTATTCGCGCATGGTCCTTGTTTACATTTTTTTAATTACATTTGGATTCAAAATTTAATTTTATGAACTATTTTATCTCACAACACTGGTTGAACAAAATCAAACCTAATTTTTGTAAAACTCAGTGGTCCGGTTAAGTTTTGGCAATGAAAACAATAATGAGGGTTGCAAAGCACAAGTAAATCTACAACAATACTTTAAAATAAATATAAACCTTATGTTGAACAAGTTCGAACGCGTTTACCCTAATGAAATCAATTAGTACATACGATTCATAAGCAAGTAGACCTGCAGTGTAATTACAAACAATGGCGTATACCCGGCTTCATGATTATTCCTCTATGTAATTTGTCACTATAACCACGCTTCTCTATGCAATTAAACAGTCATTATGCTCGTTCCGAGTTTCATCGCCTAATTATGAAAAGCGAGCCGATTGTTTTAAATTACACTGATTACCAGCTGTGCCGTTTCTTGTGCCAACTTCGGTTCATGACTTTATTATCTTGCGAGGTCAGTTAAATTTAATTTGATGATGAATTTTTGTGTCTTTTACGGTTGTAACTGAAATACTTCTTTTCATGTTTTCAAAAGTATATTATGCAACTTTCAAATGTTATGATAGCGAACACTTTTTGGTAAAGTGAAATATAAAACTTTTACCAGTTTTTAGTGGTTTTAACGCATATTAAAATTCCTACCGTAGACTAAAACAGTTATTTTATAAATTAATTTGGAGAAAACATAACACTTTCAATTCTATTTTACGTTCGCTGTCTAGTTGCCTAAATTTACCATCAGTTATTTAACAAAGGAATTTAAAAAAAAAAATTAGTAAATTACAGGTAAAATAAAAAATGTGGTAAGGGTAACTTGTAGGATTTATCGTTCAGATGAAGTAAAAAGATAAATAAATAATAATTAATTCCTCATTAATTATTATAATTTTTTTCACTCGATAAATCTCAATCTCTCATATTATTATTACAGTATTATATTATACTCTTATATGAGCAATGTTTGCTTGTATGCTTGCTTGCACAAAGAATTATTGAAATTAGTTAAATTGAAAGTCAAAACTTTTTAACATTGGCCTTTTGGGTTGCTAAGTAACCATTATGGTTGATAAAAATAACAAGGAAAAGTAAACAAAAGACTTGTAAGTTGTAACATGTGTTCATAATAAGCCATCCACCCACAGTATACTAGCAAATTACAAAATACAGTACAAAAGGAAAAACATCAGTTGTTACTATTGAGCAAAGATTACACTGAAGATAACTCGATATAGGTGAAAATAGATCCATGTTCCGATCAAATACTGATTATTCAACTTGGTTCCCTCCTACCAAAACTTAATCCCCAAAGTTATCAGCTGTTTTAATTGAAACAAAATGTCAAAACAATGTTTATGCAAGTATAGACTATTATACACGAGTCACCTCTCGTCGACTGTAAAATAAAAGAATGTCTTGAAGATTGTCATCATAATAAATTGAAATTCCACTGAAACTTAAATAATAAAAACCAAATTAGTTAGTTGTTAATAAAACGTAAATTTCCTTTATACTGCTTTTACAATCGAAATAAATAACACCGGGTGATGGCTCGGTCCCCAGGTACTTCCTATTAAAGCACAGATAGAATAGAAGTTAGTAACAATCAGTCTGTTAATTTCCTGTTTCTAGGTAAACTGTAGGACGTAAACAAAGCACAATTAGCACTACAAACAAACAAGTTTTGTGGGAACTAAATCTAGACAAAGAGACTTTAGATGGATTGTCCGTGTAATTCTTGCTTAATTAGTCTCACGTGGTTTGGATTTGTAATCGTTTGTATTGTTCATTGTTAAATTCACACATCGTAGACCTATCTTGCAAGAAAAATGTCTTAAACTTTGCCATGAATAATATACAGTTACTGTGGAGTACTAAACATTATCATAGCTTTAAATGTAATGTTGATACTAATCAAAATTTTGTATCGACTTTTTTTGTAGAACGAACCCTTAATCAGTTCCATAACAGTCGATAGGGATGCGAATTACCTAAAGGAGATTATTTGATCGAACTTCAAAAATAGAAAATAGAAGACTATAACTTCTTCTTACAATAAAATCACTACGAAACATCTATTAGTATCGTATATTTTGTAGCCCCTGGGTGTATAAGAAATAGGATACTCTATCGTCGATGAGAACCAAAATAATTTAAGTTAATTCAAATTTTTCTATCAGCATACCTTAACCCTCATTTAAGAACCTACCTTTGTATAAAAAAAAAACGTTAATGATATCTGATAGCAGCCAAGTTCTTTTGCTTTGTACTTTATGGATTGTCCCTAAAATATTTGACGATTTTTCCATCCATCCCACAAATAGTACAATACATCAATATTCAAACTAATTTAATTCGGCTTACGGGTAACAAATCATAGATCTATTAATTTTTGTCCCTCATGCCGAATTGTATCATTGAATTACTTTATTGACAAAATATACATATAATTTGTTGCATACTCCCTAAAACCGATTATAATGTTAATTTTTTTTGCCGTCATCTAAGGCGTTTTCACGAGGTTTGAATCAGTTGAGTTTAGTTTCAAATACATCAACCACACGCAAGTAGATTTCTTAGAATATAACTAAGGACTCTCATACGATATAAGATAGTACTAGTATTTTAACAGTAAATTTCTCTGACGTTTGATTTTCTCACTAGTTGTTCAGGGACGTTTTCCCGTCTAGAGCGCACGACAGCGACAGCAGCTGTGTGATGCCGCGCGTGTCTGTTTGTTTCTGATCCGTGCCATTGTCTGGAGGCAGCTGGCATAACCAAACCACAGCAATATCAATCATAACGCAGGTGTACATCACAGTATCACTCACCTGTGGGAGTTGACTCTGTAGATGAGCAGGAGTTGTCAATCTCCGCGGCAGGGGGCAGCAGCGGTCCAACCAGCGGTGGCGCTAGGAGACCTTGCTGCAGGGCGAAGGCGTAGAGAGCAGCGTACCCGGGGTTGAACAAGGGTGCGACCGGGGGTAGGCACACCGGAGGGTAGTAGTGGTGGGGTAGCATCACCGGCGGAGCAACCGGAGGTATGGACGGAGTGGAGATGATGCTGTCGATGCTGAAAGACTTGCTGGCAGAACTTTGAGGAACTTTAGGAGCAGTCTTGGAGAGCGTGTTCTCCAACAAAGCCTTCTCGATTTTTGGCAACTTGAATCTTTTCCTTCTCCTCAAGAAGGACCCGTTCTCGAACATGTCCAGAGCAGCGGGATGCAGCGCCCAGTAGGCACCCTTGCCCGGACGGTCGGGTCGCCGCGGGATCTTGACGAAGCAGTCGTTGAAGCTGAGGTTGTGTCTGAGCGAGTTCTGCCACCGCTGCGTGTTGTGGCGATAGTACGGGAAGCGCTCGCTGATGAAGCGGTAGATGTCCGACAGCGGCAACATCTTCTCCGGGGAGCTCCAGATGGCCATCGCGGTCAGAGAGATGTAGGAGTACGGAGGCTTCTGGTCCCCGTAGGATTCGCGGCATGGTCGTGGCATAATGAATTTCAAAGTCTCGTTCACTGAATTTTTACTCAGTTATATGAGTTGCAATAGGAGTAGTTTCGTTCTAGAGTTCAAAATGTCTATTATGTCTGCCATTTCAGGGCGTACGCCACGGAAAAGGTTGACACAATTATATATTAATATACATGTTATCACCATAAGCTACGGGGAATTTTCATCATGTATTTTATTTCGTTATTATGTTATTATTTAACTTCAACTTTTAACTACGCACACCTAACTTCAAATCCCTCAATTACGAATGATACAATTAAGAAATCATTTCAACAATACCATAATCTCAAATCCGGGCTCGTTTTGGATGGATGCGGCTGAGCGGATCACCGCGCACTGACACTCGTGCTGTTTGTTTTCTGGCTTGTGATTCGGCAAACACCGACACTGCCGGACCAACCAGCCGCGGGACTGATCGGCGCGTTTGAAGTGTCGGCGAGGGTCTCGCGGGGGGCGTGGCCACGTCACCGCCGCGCGCTCCCATTGGTCCGCGCTCTCCAACAATGGAAGGCTCGCACGAGCCTCCATTTTGTCCCTCCCTCCCGCTTCGGGCTCTGCCGGTTTGTACCGATCTCTTTCTAACATGGGAGATTAATTTTCCAAATAAGTTTACCCCTTCTAAATTAACTGTCGCATCCTAGCCGCGCTATTTATGCGAGTTGCGGTTTTGCAATGTTGACCCGCTCAGTTACCGTCGGTTATGGATGGCCTCATCAACTCTGTATTGATTGGTCGCTCGAGGGGAGGCTCAGGCTGATACAACCTGTTTGTAACTTTACTTTAGGCGGCGGAACTTACACTGTGTTTGCATGCAAATCTGTCAAGATTGATCGCGATTTATGCTTTATTCCGTTAATTCTCTTTGTGCTGGAGCGTTTAAAGTATGTATGCAGTATTATTTTGGCCATGTTACGGGAGTGCCACAACGGTGTATAATAGGTCCCAACATCTATTTTATTGAGAGTGTATTTTTGATTACTTTTCTGCGTAAAACATGTATATTGCGGGTGGTGTCATCTAAGAAGACGGCATCAAAATGTGTACGTGTATCACAAACTAATATAAGCCACCCATTATATTGACAGAATCACATTTTTAACATCAAGTACAGTACACTAGCAAAATAGCATACAGTTGAAATGAAAACAAAACAAGATAGAATATGAAATGTTTAACAATAATCAAAATTACAATAAATAGGTTAAAATAATTTATAAACTAGGTTGTCGCCTTGAGAGTGTATGATAAAACAACAACAAAAGATAACAATAGATACTTATTTATTTATTTATTTATTTCAACGGACATCTCCATTTTACAGCATACAAAACAAAACAATAAACTCAGGATGACTTAAATTGATAATAACAATTTTTGTGCTTAATATTAGAAATAAAATGAACAATATATAATGATCTAATAACAAACAACAGTAACAATGCCAAACCTAGCCAAACAAAACAAAAACTGACAAAATAACAAAAGGTATACAAATAAATAATAATTTCAAACAACAACAATAAATAAAAATATGAAACAATAACAACAAACCTACCATCAACAATAACAAATGATAAAGATAGATATATAGATTGACTAATAGAAATGTTTAAGTGAAATTTTTAACAGACAAGAGTAACAGTTTGAACAACAAAAAACAATTTTTAATTAGGACTGACTGAGACTGATGATCTTCTTTTTCAGTATATTTACGCTGTCTTGAAAAAAGTCGACATGCCTTGTCACTTTGTTGCCAGCTCCCTGGACCCGAACCATCGTGCTGTTTGCTGAGTAGCTAGTGCGGTGCTGTTGCTTGATAAACAGATCAGTCGACCTTGTGTTGGAAGGAGTCTTGAAATTGATTTGGCGGAGCATGTCAGGACAGTCGACTCTTCCGTTGATAATCTTGTGCAGCAGGACCGTGTCAGCAATGAGTCTACGTTCCTCCAGCGACTGAAGACCAAGTGCCAGGGATATAGTGTCAATGGGCACCTGAAGGTATGGGAATCCCATCTTGAAGCCCACCATTCGAACAAATCTTCGTTGAATTTTCTCCAGCTCATTTATTAATAACTTTTGATGAGGACTCCATATTGGTGAACCATATTCGAGAGTTTGCCTCACCAAGGCACAGTAAAGGGACTTTAAAGCTTCTGAACCGCTGAGCTGCTTTGAGAAACGGAAGATGAAACCGAGCGTTCTGTTTGCTCTACAGCATAAATCCAATACATGAGCTTGATAGTTCAATGAGGGCGTCAAGATGATGCCGAGGTCCTTAACTTGCTGCACTCGGTCAATATTTATGTTGCGAACTGAATAATTGTAGTTCATAGGGACTTTACAGCGATGAAAAGTAATGACCTGGCACTTCTTGATATTCAAATTCATCCTGTTGTCCTCACACCAACGATCAAGACTAGTCAGATCTCTCTGAATCCGGAGGCAGTCATCTAAAGAAGATATAGTTGAGAAAATCTTAACATCGTCAGCGAAAAGCAGAGATTCGTTCTGAAGTGCGTCAGGGAGGTCATTAATGAAGACTGTGAAGAGATACGGACCAAGTAACGATCCCTGGGGTACCCCTGAGTAGGAAACAAATTCAGAGGAGAGAGCCGACGCATACTTGACATTGAGACGACGGTCAGACAGATAACTGGCCAGCCACCTGACGAATTTGTTTCCAAAGCCGTGGTCTTGAATTTTCCGCAGCAGAAGGGTGTGGTCCACCGTATCGAAGGCTTTGGAGAAATCCAAATAAACAGCATCAAGTTGTTTGTTTGAGGCAAAGGCTTGTTGAACTCGGGTTTGGAGAAGAATCAAGTTAGACACTGTTGATCTTCCTGTTGTAAAACCATGCTGTTGAGAGCATACAATCCCTGCAAGTTTATGTTTGATTCGATCAAGGACAAGGTCTTCAAATACTTTAGATATAGAGGAAAGAATCGAGATTGGCCTATAGTTAGCAACATTTTCAACTGGACCAGTCTTATGAATCGGTACCACATAAGCCCTTTTGAATGCATCAGGAAAGATACCAGTGTCCATTGAGGCATTAAATATGTCACAGATTGGTGGAGCCAGTAAACACCTGTTGTGTTTCAATACCCTTGGAGGTATGCCATCAGGACCCCAACCTTTAGTGTCATCGAGCTTTTCAAGTTTCTCAAAGATTTCACGTGGGCTAAACCTTAAAGTTTGGGAGTCTCCAAGGTGACCAAAGGTTGACACTTCAAATGATTCCGTAGGCTTTGTAAAAACTGAAGAAAAGAAATTCTTGAAGAGGTTGCACATGTCGTCAGCTTCAGTTGCGATGGAACTATTGTAGACAAGACGGGATGGTATTGTGGAAGACTTTTTTAAAGTGTTGACGTGACTCCAGAAATAACGGAGATTCCCAGGGATACCCTGCTCAATTGTTCTTAAGTACTTCTTATGTTCGCTGACTGCCAGACTCTTGCACGAAGCCCTAGCATTTGCAAAGGATTGGTAGTTGTATGCTGTTGGCTGTTGCTTATATTTTTTGTGAAGGATTTTCTTAGTGATCACTAGATTTTTTAAGTCGTTGGAGAACCATCTAGGAAATGGAGAAGAACCTACCCTTCTTAAAGGCGAGTTTTCCTTGACAACCTCAGCAATTACAGAAAGAAATTCGTCAGTGGCTTGGTTTAGATCAGGTGTGCTCAAGACAGACGAAAAATCTATAGAGGAAAGAGATCTATGGACAACATCTAGTCGGCATCTTTTAAGGTCGTGTGTATACTGCTTCTTCTTGGAGGTCACTAGTTTTGTGGAGGAGTTGTAAGGCAAAATGATGGATATAGGGGGGTGGTGTCTCTCTTCAACATTTAAAAGAAAATCGTTTTCCAAGGACACTATGAAGTTCATATTAGAGCTGAGTACTAAGTCTAATAAGACGCCTCTTCCATTAAAAACGTGATTAATTTGTTTGAGACAAAAAAGTTCCATCAAAGTAAGAACCACTCCAGATGATGGAGTGTGGCCTCTGTGGAGTGTGATACTGTTGGTTGATTTGAAAACAATAGAAAATAACTTGATTAAGTACAAAACCCAGATCAGGAAAGGAAAATAAACAAGTTTTAATACTTTGCATTGAGTTAGTGTGTGTGTGATATCGTGTTTTTCGGTTTGTACAACCGTTGAGCTAATAGCTCATGGTACGGCTTACAGTATATAAAAAAAATACCGAATAGAGTTAGTATTTTCTTAATAAACCCCATAAAATATTGATCATCATAGTGAAGTTCATTTTATAAGAAAACATTTCGTTTACCAACTACTTTGGCATGGATTATCAAATTTCGTATTCAAGCACCGATATTTTTAATTCAACATAAATCCTCTATCTGCTCATGATTACTTAAGAGTTGTCTGCTGCTATGTGAAATTAACTGTCCCCATACCACGTCTTCTCTGTTTGCTCTGCGCTTTTCAATGTTAATCGAACAGAGCTGCAACAAAATATTTGATATTTGCTGCTGGCTTATCTAATAAAGTCCATCACCCTTGTCTGTGTAGATCTGTGTTTTAAGGCGAAGATTAGTGTGAAGGACCAGGGTTGAACAAGGATGACAGCTTTGTTAATTTGTAGATTCTAATAAATGCCGTACATTAACTTTTATATCGTGTTACATGCAAGTGCTTTATAATTGCTTTCTAACATTTATAAGATTTATAACCAAGCAACAAATACTGTTATTGATTTTCACATTGAGGACAAAACAAAAATGACGAGCATGTAACGGTTATTTACAGTGATAAGCAATATGAAACAAATGAAAAATACATACGTTGATCTTGAATTTGAATGTAAACAATTTTAGCCCAGCTTCGTTATGGAACAGAAATCGAAATTGAAGAATACCAAATATGAATTATCAAAACTTGACAACATCAGGTAAGTTCTAAAAGGAATATGTTGGCATTGATTTGGGCTGGAATAATATGATGGTAAATGTTTTCACAAAATTGTCAGGAAGATGGAAATAATGTATCTAGAAAAAAATCATGTAGTTACTGACACTAATGTCAGCTGCTTAGTCCAGCTAGGATTATTAATTAAATCTCCATA